GGTTGCGGTGTCGTCCGCGTAGGTGGTCATAATAGTGCCAGGATGTATTAGTAGGTCAGCAGTATAAATGCAAAGGATAGGACCAAGGATACTCCCTTGCCGTACGCCTGCTTTTATCTGCTTGACTTCAGAGCCGCACCTCACTCTGAACCAGCTATTAGTTACGTAGGATTTCAATAAAAGGTGATAATGAGAAGGTAGGTTTAAAAAGTATGGCTGGATGTAATTAAAAATAATGTCAAAAGATCGTTTTTTCCATTATTTGAATTTTCGTCTTGGTTTTATTGCATTCGAAGTAGCAAGAGGGTTGCAATTGTATTTAAGTCTTTAATTAATGAAGATGCCAAAGAAATAGAATCGATTGCATGTTGCATATGTTCTAACTTTTCGTACCGAGCAAATCCCAAGCCTGAGCCGCATAACATGCGATTGATCTAGGGATCCCATCAAAAAAATTGAACTTGAGAGAAAGAGGCACTCAATTGTGAGTGACCAGACGCGACCACACATTATTAAGCATCAAGCACATCTAGTGATTATTGCAGTGCTTAAAAGCCGACAGAGAAATGAATTCAATAAAAGTTTTAAAAAGTTGAAAACAGTAATATTTTTAGTCACTTGTTTAACTTGAACTATAATTACCTGTTGTAAAATGAATAGTTTCGCGTTTTATCGTGCGGATTTGAAACTTCGGCGCAAGTTCAAATCTTCATTGTTTCTTGTTTTAATGGTTTTTCAAGCCGTGAATTGTAAGCCAAGTTTACTACGTGAAAACTGGACAAAAGTTAACGCTAAACCAGACTTATAACAATTAAAACAACACGACAGTTTGCAACAATCGGTTTTATTTGTACAGGCGAGACTCGCTTGAAATATAAACAGTCGTTTCAGGTCGGGTTGAGGTGGAAAAAAGTTAGAAAACTGCCCTGAACAAACGTCCTTTTGCCTCCCCTCGCATTATGGTAATTTTCGTATTACCGAGATTAAAAGCGGAAGAAAAACTTACAAGAGAATGATTAATGACTTTCAATCCGACAATTTTCGAGGAATTTCGTCTTGAAAACTTGGAAGAGAAGTTGGAGTAGAAGAGTTCGTCTATTATTCGTCGTGCTTTCTGAATACTCTGATTAACCTACAATGATTGATTTTTAATGCCTATTTGCCTTTTGTAAATTCTGTGCGTTTCGTATTACCAAAACATCGTTGGAGTTGATGATAGTGAAGTAGTTTAATCGTCTTAGATAATCCTCGTCTGCCTGTCATACTCTCAGACGTGCTTTGACATATGAACTGAACTGCTCTACCTCGTCCCAAAACACTCAAGTAAATACGCAAAGCACGTTTTATTGCAGGTATTAAATGCAATGTAATTTTCCTCCTAATTTTGAAAATTATTACGAATCATGTCTGGCATAATAATTTGACAAATACTGAGTTTTTCTCTGTTTTAGCCAAGATATTTTAGACACTGTAAAACCAAAATTTCTAAATATCAGTAAAGATCACTTAATGTCACCTATTTTTAGTCAATGTTTAATGCAGACTAATAGATTTAATGGGAAATAAAACGATGCTGTTTATTATATGCAAGTTTGAAATTGTTTTTATTATTTTTTTAATACGAGGATTCACAACAGCAGAGGTCATATCAACCCGTAGGGGGTCGGTGTTTTTTGAAAAAAAAAGCCCATTTGTAAGTGTATCGGTTTCTAATGCAGGGCCGCAGGATTCGAACCCGAGATCTTTACCTTACAATAATGAGCGCCGTGTCAACGCCTTATCCGTTGCCACGACCGACGCCCATTAATAATATAATATAATATATAATTTAATTTGACAAATACTGAGCTTATCTCTGTTTTGGCGTAGCCAAGAGATTTTAGACACAGTAAAACAAAAATTTCTAAATATCAATAATGATCACTTAATGTCACCTATTTTTAGTCAATGTTTAATGCAGACTCGTAGAGTTAATGGGAAACAAAACGATGCTGTTTATGACATGCTAGTTTGAAATTGTTTTTATTATTTTTTTAATACAAGGATTCACAACTGCAGAGGTCATATCAACTCTTAGGGTGTCGGTGTTTTTGAAAAAAAAAGCCCATTTGTAAGTGTATCGGTTTCTAATGCAGGGCCGCAGGATTCGAACCCGAGATCTTTACCTTACAATAATGAGCGCCGTGTCAACGCCTTATCCGTTGCCACGACCGACGCCCATAATGTACTTTTATTCTCCCTTAAGAAAACTCTAAATGTTAAAATATAGAAAATCTTTTATATGCAATAAATTATATATTGTTAATAGGTTTTACGGGCGATTTAACGGCTAAGGTCATTTCACGCCTTTAAGGATTTATATCACTTAACGCCCTTTTAACTACGGCCCGCTATATCAATTCTAAGTGCTGTGAAATCGCAACTCTGAAAACATCCATTCATTCTGGTGCCATCTTGAATTAAATGATTTTTCTTGAATAATTACTCAACTCAGAAAGCTAGAAAATGTTTTCTTTTTCTACAAAAAAAAAAAAGTTTTAAGAAATATATTAATCACGGTTGCGGGGATTTTTGACTGTTTTGCACCATGAGGATGAAAACGTTTCAGATGCCCTATTTATTTTAAAACTAAAAAGTCATAATTTTGTCATGACAAAAATCAGTGTCAGGCACGTTTTTGACCCTCAAACAAATAGTGTAAAGGTTGTCACTTTTTTGCCAGGGGTTCTTCGACCTAAAGGTGATTGTGGCTGGTGTTCCGCAAACAAATATTTTTCTTTATCTCCTATCCTCATAGGATATCGTACATACTGAAGGAATAACACTTTGCAGATGCTACCACCTATATACCTTGCTGTTAGTAGGCCATTGGCAATGGAGTAAAAGTATCTACTGAAAAGTTACACAACAGTTAACAAGGTCATTTACCAATAAAAGTTCATCCCGATTTAATGATAAACCTGCAGACAGTGCCTGGACCCTTCCTGAGACACCTTGTTTAGATCTAGAAGGAAGATCAATGTTTCTTGGTACTTACACAATATCGTGCTCGAACAGAGAGTACTTGGGCATAAGAACTTATTTTAGACTAAATTTAGTTCAGGTACAAAGTACTAGATGTATTATCAGGGAGGATACTAAACTGTGCCATTTGAGAGATATTGTATACTTAATTTTAACATATAATAAGCTCGTGAATCCTGATTAACGTCCCGAAGCGGTATGGAGAAGTATGGCACCACGTTTGATGTGGGTTGTGGCTTTTCGAATTGATTATATTTGCCTTTAAAGTTCTGATGGCTGCCTGATTATCTGATATTATACCTGTGTCATTTGTGTTTTTGAAGTCTCTCATCAGATTGATTTGAGTACTATTTTTAGTAGATTGTAGAGTAGTATCTTTCAATGGGATCTGAGTAGTTAGTATGGAAACACTCTTGTCTAAAAAGTAGTGGTTATTGCCTATTATATTTCATATATTTATATTATGTATTATACTTCACAATATTTATATATTATACTTCACCCTTTGAGAGCTATTCTACCCCCTGGTACCTCTATAGGTAGTTTGTTGAATCTTAATCCATTGGCGAATTTGATTATCAGACCTGGTAATACTTCTTTCAAGGTTATGCTTTACGTTCCAAAACCACTTTCTCCTCTGAAAAAGTATGTCACCACAGTCTGTGTTGTAGTACAGTAGGTACTATACACAGTAGGTGTATTGGGACCTCTTCTGCCTCCTTTCATATTTCGCTCTGTGATGTCACGCAAGAGGGTCTAGTTCTTCTTTTTCTTCTACTTCTGCTTGCCTTGAAACTAAGCAGAGCGTGACCGTTGACCTATCCTATGAAATAAGGATGTATACACTTTCTAAAATGCTTATTAATACCACAGTGCCTTATCAAGAAGCCTGGTAGGATGATTGATTCAGTCTTTTCCTGCTTCCTTTGATACCAATTCACTTTTTCCAAGAGCAAAGAGATTCTTGGTTTGTGACTTGTAAGTGATTCCCTTTGTTTCCTCACATTACAAAAGGGTCCAAGCTACTATTACCAATATGGCAGTATCTTTCTTTTTAAGAGCTTCCACTTCTTCGTTTCCTTTTACTTCTGGTATTGGACCCAGGAGAGGACTCTTGACCTAACTTATTTGGTAAACCACAATCTTGTATACACCTAAAACTGTTTAGTTTGATTCGCACAATTCTCGAGGTGATGATGATTGAATTTAATGCTCTGATGGCCGTCAGGATCTTTGACATGGTAGTTTTGTCTTGGTTTTTGTATTCTTTGTTCAGATTGAATGGAGCTTATCTCTAAATTGCATGTTTTTCATCCTGAAAGACGCACTTTGAGTACTTAGATTTTGGACCAATCGCTCCAGCCCAAGTAACTTCGCGCATTTAAGATCGGTGTATCAACAGATCGTGTCTTCCTTGACCGTGGGTTTTTTTCTAAAAAAATAGTTACAAATAACTTATTCTTATAATTTAACTTATTAAAGTTGATGATGGGTGGCGGTGAACTCATGCTAAACTGCTTTGGTTCATTTATTGGGTCTGTCTTCACACGCGGTTTCTTGGACTACTCAAATCCATTTCGGTGTTGCGCCACCTTCAGATAGGAACTTGCTGGAGTAACTGTTCCTGAAGATAGCGCAATGCCAAAATGCGTTTGAGTAGTTCAACAAATCCATGAGCGAAGACAGACCCAATAAGTGACACAATATCGATTCAGCATTAGTCTTGTTTATTAAATTGTCAACTTCTCCTTCATTCTTTCGTCTGATAGAGATTTTTCGGCACGATGTAACATAAAATTATTTATTTATTTGAAATAAATAAATGGTGAGTCAAATAAATGTTATGCATTAGTGACTAAAAAAATTGCAGTTGGAATCAGTTGTGTTATTTGGTATGCCGTGCCCACTAAAAACAGATGTATTTTATTGCTCGTCTAGATTTCATTTTAGAATTTTTGCGTAAGAATCGCCACGAAAAAGACAATAAAAAACATAATGTTTCGTTCAAATGTTGAATTCGTGTGAAAAGCGAGATATCGCCCCTCGCGTGCTGTCCGTCTGTTGGACCTCGTACGTCCGAGGTCCGAGCCGATGAGAAAGCGAGACAGGGCGTGAAGTGTGTCTAAAGGGGGTAAGTATCGATCAGAGAGGGTGAGATTGTGGTAGGGTAGTTCCCGGAGTGACTCACCCCCAGTGCATATTCCACGACTAACAACCTATCTCGAATATTTCAGCTGTAAACAAATTGCGCGAGAACACGTTCTACGCCGTGTCCCCTTGCTTCATATCCTGTCAACTCAACCTGGTGGAATTCTTCAAAATTGTTCATTTTCTCAACTATTTTTTTAACATAGATTTTTTTGTATATTTGGTTTACAGTAACCACAGCGTCGCGGAAAAAGGGATTTTGTTGAAAATAATCTCTCCAAGGGTAGTTCAAGTGTAAACGGTGCAAATTGTAGGATTATTCGCACAAGTGATGAATTCGTCTGGCCATTTAAACCACCTGTTGCCAACAATACAGGAAAACGTTTCTACCTTCTCCCATTCTGCTTTTAAACGGTTCGCTCTGATTTTTTTAAAAAACATTTGCATTGATCCTCGCCTGTTTTACAATTTGATTATGAAGGTTACAATAAAGGAGGTGGGGGTTTTGCTTTTGCCATCTGGCTTTTTGTGCTTTCCTAATTTCTTAGTTCAGGTATACTCTGGATCACGAGGTCTTGATGAAAAAGCAAATTCAATTGCTACTGCCAAACTTTCATCCTGTATTAAGGTCATTGTCAAAACAGTCTTAAATATGTCTACAAATTAAGTTTTTTTACAGACGATTTTAGATTTTTCAGATTGTTTTGTCCTGATGATGACCTTAAAAAGGGTCGAAAGCTTGGCAGTAACAGTTGAATTTGGTTTTTCATCAACACCATACCGTGATCGAGAGTGTTCGGGAGTAGAAAAGTGGTCGATGCATCTAACATTTAAAACCGATCAATTCCGTGCATCGATTTGATCCTACCCTTAAGACGGTACGAGGTCATTGACTGTGCTGCAATTCCATTCCCTGGGCTTCCTTTGCATCTCATGTAAAGATTTTAATTAGCTTGTAGAACGTAAGTGATTAGTATTAAATAGCAAATGCAACCTGTATTCGCAAATTGGTAGTTCAGAGTTAATTGGGTGAACGCTCATGATCAGATAAACCGCTATCTCGTTGCCATGGTCAAATCTTGGCCAACAGGTTAAGCCTTTTGTCTACTCCTTAGTCGGACAAAGGTACTATTCATTCATTTACACATCGTCGAAATGTAATTTATCCTACAAGCAGGTTTGCTTTTTCTATGTTACTTACTATGCTCCGTAGGATACAAATGCGAGTAACCAAAAAAACTTAGGGGGCAGGAGTAGCACTGACGTCAGTACCACACAGGACACGGTATGTACTAAATTATTGAATTTGTTGTTAATAGACTTTTCAAAACGTTTAAATACAAAAAATATGCTTCAATGAATCAATCAATTCAATCTGAGATACTTCAATTCCACGTGAGATACTTTACTTACATTTTGATTAAATAAAGTCGTTTTGCAGGAGAAACAATACTGTACGAAATAATGAACCTTCGCCTGAAGTTTAATTGAAATGACGGATACACGCCAATAAATAATTGAGAAAAATTTATGTTTAAAGGCGATTTATTTAATTCAACAAAAACAAATTTAAAATATTAATAATCAATTTAAACGGTTCAAATTGGTTTAAAACAAATGTAGGAAATTGAATTGTCAATCCTGAAAATATTGTTAATACGACAGTATTCTGTTCCATTCTGTTAAGTGAATAGACAGCTGTTATCAGTTGTAAACTATGTCCAGATGAATTGTTATGCTCTCCTGCCCCCATAAGTACGAACAGCCTATTGGCATATCGTTTTTTCTCCTCAAATAACACTTTTAAACTTGAAATTTACCTTTTTTAATTTCAAGTGAATTATTGTTAACTTCAAATCAACGATTTTGCAATAAAAACATAGAAAATGGTATGAAATGTAAGCACGTAAATTAAAATATCTCTAGAGTTACCAAGCTTTTAAAAATATAAAAAAGAACAGAAGACCACATGAAAATTGTTAGAATTAAAAGTAAAAATTAATAAGTAATATTAAATATAAAAATAGAAGATTCTCCTTCTAATTTGACTTTTCATTTTAATTAATTTGCATAGTACGTCAGATAACAATAAATTTTATAATAAAAAACCACAATTAAAAGAAATATCATCTAGTTTTGTTTAATTTTAATTGTAATTAATTTTCATGTAGTATTTTTTATAAGAGCTCTAGTAAAAAAATCGCAAATTTACAGGCATTTTACTTTATATGCTTACACTTCTGGGTTCCATTAAAATTAAAAAGCATTAATTTGAAATAAAAAAGTTAATGTAAAGTTAAAAAGAGGTTAATTTGAAATTTAAAAAAGTTAATGTGAAGTTAAAAATGGTAAATTTTACATTATAAAGAGTAATTTTGAAATTAAAAGAGGTTAAGACGTTAATCTGAAGATACAAATGGTTACTCTGGGATTTAAAAAAGTTAATTCAAAGTTGAAATGGTTAATTTTACATTATAATGAGTAATTTTGAAATTATAAGGGTAAATTTGAAAAAAGTTAAATTGAAATGAAGAAAGTTTAGTTTGAAGTTAAAAAAGGATAATTTGAAATGTGGAAAGCTTAATTTGAAGTTAAAGAAAGGTTAATTTGAAGTTAAAGAAAGGTTAATTTGAAATGTCGAAAGGCTAATTTGATATTAAGAAAGCTTTATTTGAAGTCAAAAAAGGTTAATTTGATGTTAAGAAAGGTTAATTTGAAGTTAAAAAAGGTTAATTTGAAATTAAAAATGTATGTAAAAAGGTAAATTTAATATTAAGAAAGATTGATATGATAATGAGAAAATTTAATGTGAAATTAACAAGGTTAATTTGGAATGAAGAATGGTAATTTGAAGTTACAAGGGATATATTGAGATTAAAAAATGTTAATTAAAAGTTAAAAAAAGGTTAATTTGAAATGAAGAATGTTTAATTTGGCATTAAGAAAGGTTAATTTGAAGGTAAAATAATTGAAAATAAAAAAGTTAATTTGAAATTAAAAATGTTAATTTGACATTTATAAAGAGTAATTTTCAAATTAAAAAGGGCACATTTGAAAGTAAGAAAGGTTAATACGAAATTAACGAAGGTTAATTTGAAACAAAGAAAGGTTAAATTGGTAGAATTGATGAAGGTGGGGTATGTAGATTACGTTTGGTACAAAATATATAAAAAATAACTTAACCTAATAATAACAGATAGTAAGTATAAGAAATAGTAATAATATTTTTTACAAAAAGTGAAAAAAAGGTTAATTTGACGTTGAAAAAAAGTTAAATTTAATTAAAAAAAGGTTAATTTCAAATCAAGAAATGTTAATTTGAAATTAAACAAAGATAAATTTTAGAGTAAAAAAGATTAATGTATTTATTAAAAATCTAGTTAATTTGATGTAAAAAATAGTTAGTTTGAAATTAAAAAAGCTTAATTTCAAATCAAGAAATGATAATTTGAAGTTAAAAGGATTAATTTTAAAATAAAAAAGTTCATTTTGAAATCCAATAAAATTATTTTGATTAAAAGAGTTAATTTTACATTGTAAAGAGTAATTTTAAAATTAAAAAAAGAAAAATTGAAATGAAGAAAAGTTAATTTGAAATAAAGAAAGGTTAATTTGAAATTTAAATCGATTAAATTATAGAAGGTCAATTTGACTAGAAAAAACTTTATACACATAGAAGAACTAGCTATTCAATTCTATAATAAAAACAGAAATGTTTTTAAAGAGAATTTAGAAAGGTTAATTAAGATAATTTAGAAAGGTTTCATGTCAGATATATCTATACCGGAGCATATGATAGAAGGCATAATCTACACATAATTATCCAACTAACTGCTCAGCTAACAAGGTTTAAAAAATATGGTTAATTTGGTATATAACATATTTTCATTGCATTTTAGCAACAGTCAATGAGAGGGTACATAAATCGCATTATTTAATATCCACCACGTTGCAAAGAGAAGGCGTGCAAATAAATTAAATTTAGCCTAAAGTAAATAATTATACAACTCCCATAGAGGCGGGGGCTCTTGAAAAGGGGCAATTAGCGGCGTTTGAGCAATTTCCAAATATAATTAGTATCCCCTGAGAGGATGCCGAGACGGGCCTGGGTAAATTATTAAAAGACAGGAAAGGCTCGGGGCAAAGATGGCGGTGGATGAAAGCAAGGGAGAATAAGTGCAATAAAAATGTGGGCGGCGGTGGCAAGTGTGGTTTTAAGGTGGAAGCATGGATGGGCACCACTTAGGTTCTCATCATGGACACCTGCGACCCCACGACAACTTACTACTTCGCCGACCCTTCATGCTCACGCATAAACCATATTTTTTCTACCTTTTTTAACCAGTACCTCGTCTGTAAATTACAAAACAAACTTCTCTCACTTCATGAATTGACTTGGGACTTTGAGTAGATAAAAATGGCCTTTGTTCTCAAAAATATGCTTAAAAATGTAACATTTTAATTTAAATTTGCCAAAAAACATCACGCTGTAATTTACTATCAGCCATTGTCTTTTTATTACGAAAGAGCGCATTTTATCTTGCGTACTATATTGATTCATATAAAATATTCACAGGAATTTTTTTTTCAAATAAGAGCTGAATTTTACTTCATGCTTAGTACTTAATCCACTGCAATAAAAACCCAAATTAAATTATCGTCTCGTAAGATCGATTCTCCATTTGAAAGGAGAGAAACGTAGCTTTTTAACCACATATATAGAATAAAAATATAGAGAGGATTTTTACAAGAAAATAAATAAAATAAGAAAATATTTTTGTCAGAAAAATAACCACGTTTTTTAAATGGAAATAATATTCCTATTGGTATTTTCCAGTAATTTTAGTATGCTATTTATTATGTATCCCCATGTTCATTTGTTGTCAGGGTTATAAGCAGGGTGAAACGATGCAACAAACCCAATACTTAAGATAGCAAGAAGCCGAAACGCGTCTGAAATACCAATACAGTGAAGATAATTTGCTGATTGATGATGAAATTTTTAAATTGGACATTATCAAACTGCAACATATTCAAAGTTTTTAAAAGTTAAAAATAAAGAAAGAAGGTATGAGTTGAACATGAAGACATAAATTATATGAAATATATAAATATTGTCAAACGAGGAAGCAACTTGGTGATAAGTCCTTATCTTGAAAGAATGCTTAATTTTTGCGAAAACCAACAAATCATTGTTAACAATATATTATTTTTCTTTAAGGAAATTGCATAAATTTGGTTAAGACTTTACAGACATCGTTTGTGTCTTGCTTCTCCCTCCTTATAACCTTGACCAGACGAGCCAGTGATTATGGTCTTTCCACTTTCACGGTTTTCACGTTTAAGTATTTAAATATTGAAGCACTCTCCAGTGCTGAGCTGCAATGGTAACTTGATTATTAGTTCTTAGTCTAGAAAAAATACAAACACAGGGACGACCAGGTTGGTGTCTCGGTTTGGACCACACCTTTTTTCGGTGATTCTACACTCCAAAATATCTGACAGATATCCACCAATTCTTGTGAATAGGTTTCGGCAAAAAAATTTGAAAATTGAAATTTTCCATTTTTTAATATTTTTATTTTGTCATTCTACTTATTCAAACCAATTATGTGAACATATCGTTTTACAGCATTGCTTATTGCATATTGCAATAAAAATGTAGTAAAAGCTATCAAAGTATATCAGTAACCAGAAAAATTCTAAAAACCAAATATTTTTCAAGTAAACTAGGCAATAAAATAAATTTCGTGAAACTAATGTGAAAATTTAGCACCGCTAGAGACCCCTAAATATAATTTTTTTTTAAGTTTAAATTTATCGATTTTTTGACTCCTAAAATTTTTCCGATTTTTAAGAAGCCGCTATTGACGGCTATAATTCCAAAAAGGCTAAAACGCTTTTAAGTTCAAACATACCATTTGAAAGGAGAGAAACGTAGCTTTTTAACAACATATAGAGAATAAACATATAGAGAGGATTTTTACTAGAAAAAACATAAAATAAGAAAATATTTTTGTCTGAAAAGTAGCCTTTTAAATGGAAATAATATTCCGATTTTAATGTTTGATACAGTTATACAATGCACTGGACAATTTCTTCAAAACGAATTATACCGCGAAAATCGGTCTTCCAGGTTTTGAGAAAAATTATGCTAGTCTGTACTAGGAATGTCAACCACTCAGGAGGTCGTCGAAATTACCAGACAAAAATTAATTTACACCGATTGCTGCGAAAGTCGGTATTTATTTGTTTTATAAGGCTAGAATCACGACAATGATGCCAAATCCAAGTTTTGACCGTTATCTGAATTTGCTTACAAAATTTTTATTAAAATATGCGAAAAAGCAATATTTTGTTGATTTTTTTAAAACAACAAATTGGAATATACTGAGTTATAGAACATTTTTGTTTTTATCCTAAACAACAATGAAATTAATACACCGAAAATAATATTTTTTTGATCTTTAAATAAGGGTTTATGATTACTTAACTGCGACTAAAATTAG